ATATGCCTATTCATTTTCTGTTCTCTCAGTTATATAGAGGAATGTTGAAATGTCAGCTATAATTATTCATTTGTTTATTTTTCTTTTCAGTTTTGTCCATTTTGCTTCATGTATTTTGAAGCTTTGTTATTAGGTGCATATACATTTGGGGTTGTATATTGATGAATTGTCTTTTTCTCGTTACAAAACATCCCTTTTTATCTTCGGCAATATTTCTTGTTCTGAACTGTTTTTGGTAATACAGTCATACCTCAGTACTTGTCAGCTTCAGAACTCATCAGACCCTGAGGTCTCGTCACATTTTGACAAGGAAAAAACATTTCAGCCCTGGGTGCTTGCTTGGGACTCATCGCATTGGCTAGAACTTGTGTAAGTTATGACACTACCGTACAAGAGAAAATACTTCAACGTTAGATACTCATTGGTTTTGACACTCATCGTGAGTTCTGGAACGCATTGACAAGTACCAAGGTACCACTGTATAGACACTCTAGCATTCATTAAACATTTTTTTAAAATTGTGGTAAAATATATATAACAAATTAAATAAAATGTACCATTTTAACCATTTTAAGTATATGGTTTAGTACATTCAGTGTAGTGCAACCATTGCCACTATTCATTTCCAGAACCTTTTTATCACCTCAGCAGAAACTGTGCATCTGTTAAAGAGTAACTCCCATTTGCCACTTCCCTCAGCCCCTGATAACCTCCATTCTACTTTCTGTCTCTGAATTTGACTATTCTAGGTACCTCATTTAAGTGGAATTATCCAGTACAGGGTAGGGCAAAAGTAGGTTTACAGTTGTGCGTGCAGGAAACAGAGTTTATTCTTACACTGTTATGTATTAAATAGTGTATTATTTTTCATATGAACAACTGTAAGCCTACTTTTGCTCCACCTTGTGTCTGTCCTTTTGTGACTGGCTTATTTCACTTAGCATAATGTTTTCATGTCTCATTCATGTTGTTGCATGTCTCAAGAAATCCATTTTTTTTTTTTTTTAAGATTTTACTTATTTATTTTTAGACAGAGGGGAAGGGAGGGAGAAAGAGAGCGAAACATCAGTGTGTGGTTGCCCCTCATGTGCTCCCCACTGGGGGCCTAGTCTGCAACCCAGGCTTGTGCCCGGACCAGGAATCCAACTGGCAACCTTTTGCTTTGTGGAACAATGGTCAACCAGCTGAGCCATGCCAGCCATGACGAGGCTATAATTTTTTTAAGTGGTTATTCTACAGTTACAATAGGCCTCTTTAACTTGCCAGATTCCACCTTTGAATAATATTATACCACTTCACATGAAATGTAAGAAACTTCCAAGGGCATTCTTCTATTTATCACTCTAATCCTTTGTCCTATTGTCATCATACATTGTCCTTGTATGTATGTTAAAAGCTCTAGATTATATTGTTGTGATTTTTGCTTTAAACAGTTTGTTGTATTTTAAAGATAAACTAAGTTATTTTGAAAAGTTTTTTCTATTTATACCATTTATTATTTCTGTTATTATTCATTCTTTTGTGTAGCTCCTAGTGTCTATTCAGTGACTTTTTATTTGTGCTTGAGGAACTTACTTTAGTGAATTCTCACAAATTTTGTCAAAGTTTTCAATTTACCTTAATTAAAATAAACCTTTTTTTGGTATAAATATAGATTCACATGCAATTATGAAAAAAAATAGAGAAATCATGTATACTTCTCACCAATTTCTCCCAATGGTAACATCTTGCATAGCTGTAGTATAATGTATCAACCAGGAAATGCACATTGATACAACTCCATTTAACCTTATTCAGATTTTACCAATTTTACCTGTTTCTTTTTGTATAAACTTGTTACGTGTATTTAGTTTTTTGCAATTTTATCATATGTGTAGATCAGTATGACAAATATCACAGTCAAGATACAGAATAGTTCCATTACAAGGATCACTTGTGCTACCCTTTATTTTCACAGCCACCTCTCTCCTTTACCCATCTGAACCCTTGGAAACCACTCACTCATCTGTTTATAATTTTAACATTTATGGAATGTCTATAATTATGCAGCGTATAACTTTTTGAAATAGGATTTTTTTTTCACTTACCATGACTGGTGTGAGATTTATCCAAGTTGCTTCATGTACCAACAGTTTGTTCATTCTTGTTGCTGAGTAGTATTCCAGGTATAGGATGTACCACATTTTGTTTAGCCATTTACCTGATGAAGGATATTTGGGTATTTTCCTAGCTTTTTGCTGTTACAAATAAAGTACACCAAGTTCTTGAATAATGTCATTTCATTTGACATTTTGTTTTAACATTGATGAGAAAAAATTGATTCCTGAACAAGGCCTCTGTGTATGGAGTTTGTATGTTCTCCCCATGTATGCATGGGTTTTCTGTGGGTGTTCTAGTTCTATCTCATATCCCAGAGAGGTGCACATTAGGTTAATTGGCGTGTCTAAATTGTCCTGGTATAAATGAGTGTGTACCCTGTGATGGAATGGCATCATGTCCAGGGTTGGTTTTTGCTTTGTTCCCTGAGCTGCCAGATGGAATCTGGCCACCCATGACCCTGAACTGGAATAAGTGAGTTGGAAAATATTTATCATACTTGTTTTTATTAATCTTTCTTGAACACATACATAGCTCACATTTATTTCAATGTTTGATATTAGAAGTGTTTTGGGTCTTTATTTAGAAGTTGGTGAAGTTTTTGTGACCAGGAATACGCCCTAGGGACTTAATTCTTATTTATGTCAATTAGCCTGTGAGAAAATTGGTTTCATTATACATCCTTTTTGCTTAAAGTTGCAGTTTCCAAGAACCTATTAATGATATTAAGTGAGGACTCACTGTATAGGTATGCAAATTGTGTACATGTTTTGGTGTGAACCTAAGTTTTGATGGTCTGGGATAAATGACCCAATTGTTGAATCATTACAGCAAACTCATGTTTAGTTTTAAGAAGCTGCCCTATTTTTCTAGAGTGTCTATAACTCTTTACATTTTTTCACATCTTCTCTAGCATTTTTCTAATTGTGGAAAGTATACATAATAACAACAAGATGGTGGAATAGGTGATTGCGGTACTCACATTCTCCCATAACCGCATCAAAATTACAACTAAACTACAGAAAAACCATCATTCAGAACTGCCTGAAGTCTAGCTGAACAGAAGTCCTATAACTAAGTGTAGAAAGAAGCCACACTGAGGCTGCATTAACATTAACATTAGCTAGGAAGATCCATTTTTGTCCTCTTGCTATTTCTTCTTCCAGGATGTACAGTGGTAGCTCCAATAGTTGTCTTGAACTCTGAGGTGCCTTTGAGGAGGCCATACTCTGAAGACTGCATAGTAGAAAAATAGGAGCCTGAGTCCCTAATAGGACCAAAGAGCCATTTGTATCATCCTTGGACTACTGAACAGCTGACTTCTCTGTGGAAGTGAAATAAAGTCCTATCTTGTTTAAACTACCCCCCCCCCCAATATTTATATATAAAAGATACCATTTTAGCCATTTTTAAGTGTACACTTTTGTGTCATTAAGTACAATCACATTGTTGTGGTGCAGTGCTTCCCACCATCCATTTCCAGAATTTTTCATTTTCTCCAACTGAAATTTTGTACCTATTAAACATTAACTCCTCATTCCCTATCTCCCATCTTCTGGTAACCACCATTCTACTTTCTGTCTCTGAATTTACTGTTCTGGGAACCGCATATGAAAGGAATGATATACTACTTAGCCTTTTGTGAACTGCATATTTAGCATTTGGTTTTATAATTTTTATTTTAGCCATTCTAATAAGTATCGCTTATACTTTTAAAGTATATTTTTACACTGTATACTGCACTGACTTTTTTTTTTTTTAGATTTTATTTATCTTTAGAGAAAGGAAGGGAGGGAGAAGAATATCAACATGGGGTTGCCTCTCACGCACTCCCTACTGGGAACCTGGCTTGCATTCCAGGCATGCGCCCTAGACTGGGAATCCAACCAGCAACCCTTTGGTTTGCAGGCTTGTACTCAATCCACTAAGCTACACCAGCCAGCATGTGTCTTTTAATTTTTGATTGATTGTAATATGTAGTCAATTTTATTTCTTGTATGCTGAAATTTTTTTCTGTCTTTAAACAATGTTAAACTTTGTTTTGAGTGGTAGTTACTTATGGATCAGCTTGATCCTTTCAAGGCTGTTTTTAAGCTTTGTTAAGGTGAATTTAGAGAAATCTTTACCCTAGGGCTAATTTAGCCCTTCTGTTAAGGTTATGATCCTTTTAGGGTCTCTACTGAATGTTCGAAGTCTTCAACAAGGAATCCCCACTGCAGTTGAAGTGGAACTCATACATCTCCCAACCTTGTGTGACCTCTGGGAAGTTCGCCTTCTAACAGTTGCTCTTTGCCTAATCTTTTGGAGTTTCACCCTTTTTGCATGTGTAACTTAGTATTCAGTCAAATACTGAAGCATCCCCTAAATAGTTCTGGAATTCTTTCCTTAACAAGCTGCTTTCTCTATTTCTGTTGCTTGGCCTAACTGAACTCTGATCTTTCTTTTCAGTTCACAGAGACTGCTATGTTTTACTTGGAATCCTTTTCACTGTACTGCATTCTGGAAAGTACTTCCAGGTAGAAAGCCAGTAACCATATAACTTACCTTTTTTGTTTCACTCCTCTCAGAGCTTGCAGTCATGTGTTGCCTCTTGTCTAGTGTCTGAAAATGAATTTTGTACCTTTCCAGTTTTGCAGGTGTTTGTGACAAGAAGGCAAATCCTGTCTCAGTTATTCAAACACTGCTAAGAAGCAGAAATTGATCCCAAATTTGCATACACCAAGTTCAAAAAAAAAATTTGGTTTAAATTTTTGTCATAGTATTATGGCCAATATTGTGACATCATTATAATTTTAATTTTTATTGAAATATGGTTGATATATAATATATAAGCTTTAGGTGTACAACATAGTGACTATATTTGTATATTTTTTAATAATTATTTTTTTTAATCCTCACCCTAGGATATGTTTATTGATTTTAGAGAGAGAGGAAGGGAGAGAGAGAAAGAAACATCGATGTGAGAGAGAAACATCGATCGGTTGCCTCCCGTACATGCCCAACTGGGGATCGAACCCGCAACCTAGGTATGTGCCCTGACCAGAAAATGAACCCGCACCCTTTCAGTGTACGGGACAATGCTCCAACCATCTGAGCCACCCAGCCAGGGCTCCCTGGTCTTTTTTTTGTCTTTCATGATATTTTAAAGAATTCAGGTTAGTTGTTCTGTAGCTAATTTCCGTTTTGACAGAAAATCATCTCTGAGTCTAGGTGGGGTTGCAGATATCTTAGTCTGTAAGTAGTATGGAATTGTAGATATCAAAATATTTTGAGTCTTTTTTTCTGCCCCCCAAATCTTTGACCCAGTAATTTTTTGGAGGAATGTTTATTAGTGTATGCATGAAATTTTGAAATATTTAAACAGAAAAAAATCTCCTTGCAAAGTTGTAACACTTGGAGATTTTGAGTTATGATATTAAACTTTAAAAATTCCTGCTTCATTTCTACCTTGCATTTAAGTTTCTGACATTTTCAAGAATGTCAGAATTCTGTTGTTTTTTAATTTACATTTTAAAAATTCACATGAACTACATTTATTGAAAGCAAATAAACTAGAAATACTTATAAGAAAAATGAAGAAAATAATTCTATAAATTCTAGTATTCACATATAACAATTGTGAACATTTTGATTTATATCCTTCCAAACTTGAGGTAGTAAAATTGTATGTGTGAGAGAAACATTAAAAGAATTTTGTATCATTATAACACAGCTGTTGCTTGCTTTTTCCCTCATGGTATAGTGGTTACATTATTAAACAATGAAAGAATGGAAAAGTAAAGGTGCCATATGATCTTTTTAAAGGGGAACAACTGGAGAGAGAGGCTCTTGTCTTACCAGTTAGCATTTAGATACTTACCAAGTACTGTAAATAATTCTTACTGATTGTATCAGTTACTTTCCTAGTTCTCAGAATCTCTGTTGATGGGGTAAAGGGAAGACGAGAGAGGTGAGCACTTGTGGAAAATTGCAAATTATGAAAATTCTAACTTTGTTTATTTGGTACTGAGTTTCATGTAAACATGATGACCACAAAATGAATATTTCTTACTTAAATTTTAACATTGATTTTTTAAAAAAGTAAGTAGAATATTCACCATTCAAAAATACAAAATAGACAGTGAAAAGTTTCCCTCCCATTTTTGTGTCCTAGGCTCTGGAGTTCCTGTATCAGAGGCCACCAGTGTTACCAGTTTCCAAGTATCTTTCCAGAGATACATAAGAGAAAATTTGTATATATCACAGAAAATTTGAAATTACCTGATTATTTTAATCTAATTCCCTTTAATAGTACTACGTTTATATAGGGTTTCATAAGTTTGCAATGTACTTTCACACATAGTCCTATCTTAGCCTTGTAACCATCTTGAAAAGTAATGAATAAATACTTGAAAGTACAAAAAATAAAAATTACTACTTAAGAAATGCGGAAAGAATAAGATCAGAAAAGGTTCTTTTTATACCTTCTAAAATACCTGATTTAGGTCACTAAATGAAAGGTGTAAAGTATATCTCCTTTCTGTAAAAAATACTACAATGCAATTCTGATGCTAACATGGTCCTCAACTTCAGGTGTCAGCTGCAAACTCTTTGGGTCCCCAGACCACCTACCCTTTTGACTGACTGGCTAAAAATCCAGGGGGTTCCCCATGACTCTCTTCAAATTTGATAATTTGCTAAAATGAGTCAAAGAACCCAGGAAACTGCTATACTTACTGTCACAGTTTTATTAGAAAGAATTCAAATCAGAACCAGCCAAATGAAGAGACAGGGGGCCAAGTCTGGGAGGGTTGCAAATGTAGAGCGCCCAATTTCCTCTCTTGGTGGAGTCCGGAACGATCAACCCCATCAACAAGTAAACTATCAACCCCATTATTTTTTCTCAATTAATACCCTGCCCCCATCTCCCACAGTCAATTCCCACTCTGTTGTCCATGTCCATGGGCCATTCATACATATTCTTTGTTTAGTCCCTTCTTCTTTTCCACCATTGTCCTCCTTACCCATCCCCTCTGGTCGCTTACAGTCTGCTCCATGTCTCCATGCCTGTGGTTTATTTTGTTTGTTGGTTTATTTTGTTTGTTAGTTTATTTTATTCAATAGATTCTACTTACAGGTGAAATCCTATGGTATTTGTCTTTTACCATCTGGCTTATTTCACCTAGCATAATATTCCCCAGTTCTATCCCTATTGTCACAAAAGGTAGTTCCTTCTTTCTTTCCTTTTTTAATGCAGGTTGATTTTATTTTTTTTTTAAATGTCAAGATCCATTATTAAATATTAAAAAATTTAAACCCATTATAAAGTCTCAGCAATTAAAACAACATGACACCAGCACAGAAATAATCAAGTAGATTAATGAAATAAAATGAGCATTCTGGAAACAAACGTATATATCTGTCTAACTGTAATATATGATTAAATTGATTTTTCAAATCAATGGGGAAAATAAGGCTTATTCAACAAATAAGGTGCATGCACCACTATTCCTTGAAACAAAACAGATAATAGAGCTCTGTTTCACACATTATACAAAAAATATTCAGATGAGTTAAAAGTCAATATGTAAGACCTAAGAAGTTTTAGTAGAAAATACAACTAATATTTTTCTTACCCTGAAGTAACATATTCAAACCCAGAAACTTTAAAGTAAAATATTGACAATATGATTATATTAAACATTTAAGACTATACAGTAATATACATATAAAAAAAGTAAAGGGACAAGTAATAGAATAGGAAAGTATTTGCAACACTTCCATAAAAGGGTTAATTTTTTTTTTTAGGGGAAAAATTCTACAAACATTTAATCAAAAAATGGATAAAGAATAAAAAGTCATTTGAGGCTTTTAAAAATAATAGAAATAGGCAAGAAATATACAAAAACAGGCTTAGTTTCAGCAAATAATAAAGGAAAAATTAAAATAACACATCATTGTCACCATCAGATTAATAAGTATTAAAAATATTTGTAATATCAAGTATTGGTGACTGTGAAAGGAACTGGGTATTCATAGATTCTTTTTCTCCATCGTCTTAAAGCAGTCCCTTTAGCATATCTTGAAATGCTGGTTTGGTGGAGGTGTATTCTTTTAGCCTTCTTTTGTTTGAGAAGGTCTTTATTTTGCCTTCCATTTTAATTGAGAGACTTGCTGGGTAGAGCAGTCTTGGTTGCAGGCCTTGGATTTTCATTACTTGGACTATTTCTTGCCATTCTCTTCTGGCTTGTAGGGTTTCTGTAGAGAAGTCGGCTACTAGCCATACCAGGGCTCTGTTGTACATTACTACCTCTTTCTCCCTTGCTTCCTTTAGGATTCTCTGTTTGTCTTTGATATTTGCCATTTTAATGATGACTTGTTTTGGAATGGGCCTCCTTGGGTTCCTCTTGAATGGGACTCTCTGTGCTCCCTGGACTTGTGTGACTTTTTCTCCTCAGATTAGGGAAGTTTTCCATCATTACTTTTTCAAACAGGTTCTCTATCCCTTCCACCTCGTCTTCTCTTTCTGGTATCCCTATTATATGGATATTATTTTGTTTCAGGTTGTCCTGCATTTCCCTCAGTGCCTCTTCATTCTTTTTGAGTCTTTTTTCATTTTCTTGCCCTTCCTGGGGGCTTTTTTCTACCTTATCCTCAAGCTTGCTGATTCAGTCCTCAGCTTCATCTAGCCTGCTTTTGATTCCTTCTACTGTGTTCTTCAATTCAGAAATTGTATTCTTCATTTCCTCTTGTCTCTTATTGATAGTTTCTGTGTCCTTTTTCATGCTGATATAGTGGTTATCCTGCAGTTTTTAGTAATTCTCTCTGAGCTCACTGAGCTCATTGAGCTTCCTTAGAACCGCTGTTTTGAACTCAATATCTGATAGTTTACTTGCCTCTATTTCATTTAGTTCTCTTTCTGTGGATTCCTTCTTTCCCTTGGACTGGGAGGTGATTCTTTGTCTTCCCATTATTTGTAAGACTATTCTTTTTTGCTTCTGCTTCTTAAGTTGATGTGTCTTAATTTCTTGACTTTGTGGTGTGAACTTCTGTGGTAGGAGACCACTGTGTTTTTTTTTTTTTCTGGATCTGCCTCTGATGATGTCAGCTGTTGACCCTGTCTGATCTTAGGCAGTCTGTTCGAGACCTCCAGGAATCTACTATCTGTGGCTGTCTCCTTCAGCTGTTAACTCTTGTCACTCAGCAGTCAGGCTTAGAAACCACAGGGCAGGGCAGATTGCCTCTTAGGGGTGGGGTTATTAGGGGTGAGAGAGGGGTCCTCTCAGCTGCTGCCACTCAGGGGAATGATCTGCAGAGCAAGATGGCTGCTGCTGTATGGGGGATGAGTCAGCACTGGAATCCCACCAGCTACTCTTTCCCTTCTCTCCCCAAAGTGTCCGTCTCTAGTCTCTCCTCAAATGTCTCTAGACCACTCTCTGCCCTCTTTAGCCTGGGATCTACTATCTGTGGCTGCCACGCTGTACGCAGCAGTCAGGCTTCAGCACTACTGGGCCAGGGCTGAGTCCTTCCTGGAGGCAGGGCTATGGTGTCCTCTCACACTGTTGCCGCTCAGGGGAGTGGTCTGCCTGAGCAAGATGGCTGCTGCCATATAGGGGATGAGTCAGCACCGGGATCCCACTGACTACTCTGTTGGTTCTCTCCCCAAAGCCTCGCTCCCCAGTCTCTCCTCAGACGTCTCTAGCCTACTCTGCCCCCACCTTTGCCAGAACCCAGGGTAAGTGGCTGCAAATAAAAATTTATTTGTTGGTCCTTTAAAAGGCTCTTTGTGTCTCCAGCCCCCTGTCTCTGGCAGAGAGTAACTCTGCCACTTTTCGCAGCTGGCTGGTATTTGTGTACTTTTTGGGCTCCAGTACTGTAGGCTGGAGATCCCTGCTTATGTTTAGTCCCCACTCTTCTCAGGGGGATCCAGCTGGCTGTTTCAATATCCTTCTGGTGCTGCCGCCCGTGAGCGCCCTGCCCGCCTACTCGAGTCTCTACTGCATTCCTTACCAGTTAGGTTGTGCTAAAGCTGATTCTTCTTTCTGTC